TTATTCTTCTTACCTTGTGGAGAATCATTATTTCTGATTCCTGCTACTTGATATGCACCTATGCAACTCTTTTTAGGAAATGAATTTTGATTATTAACATTGGGATAATTTTTCCCTTTGTGAAACTTGACAGATACCTCAGAGTTATTATATGTTGCATCTTTAAAATGAGTTAGTTGGCTGGTCTGCAACTGAACAATTAATTCTTGCAGACCTAGTCTTATTTCATCCAGACCAAAATAACCCTTGTGATACTTGTTCGAGAATCATTCAAGTGTTTTACAGCTTAATTTATTCTGTACCATGGCACTCAATAACCAGTCTGATTCCTTCAGATTATATTTATTACTTAAAGTTTTGAGAGTGCTCTCCAGTTTAACTCTAAACTGTTGTAAACCTTTGTAAGTGTGATCTGGAGATTTTAAATTAACAATGATATTCACTAGATCCAACCTACTTTGTTCTATATTACCATAAGTGACCTTCAACAAGTCAACTGCTTCCTTGTAAGAGTCATCTACATTGGGAAAGCCTTGTATGAGTATGTGAGCATCTCCTCTTACCTGTCCTTTGAGGTAAAATAATTTAGTTGCACAGGCTAGATCACTCCTTTCATACACAGCTGCTTTAAAAATTGACCAAAACTCCTCCCAATTTTCTCCTGGATTAAATGCAGGTAAACATAATTCTGGGAGTTTTGGCAAAGACATCCTATTTGTTGGAGCAGATTGATTAACTGCCTGGTTTACATATTTTAATTTATTCAAAGCCTGACTTTTACAAGAAAGAATCTTTTCTTCTAATTCATAATACTGATTAATCATGAGATCTACTTCAGTCTCATCTACACAGTTTACTAATAAATCTCCTTCATATTTGTTGTAATATAATTTGTATGAATCATATCTATTCCCCAAAGGTTCTAAATACAATTTCAAATCATCAGTATTCACAGTTTCTTGATTCATTAATTCCGAACATTTATTATATGCCTTGGTTACATGACCTTTTCTAGCCTGTGGTGATGCTTTCTTTGCTCTATATTCCATATGTTTGTCTTTTATATTAATTTCCTCCTTTTCAGCCATGATGCAATGTATTAAATTCAACTTAATTAATAACACTGATTACGTACTTAATTATGCACTTTATAAAGGTAAAGAATACAACTTACTTTTGAATAAATCCTAGCTACACTTGAGCTTTGCAATTACATGTAAGAAAATTATAATATAAATTTTAAATGTACATTAATACAAACCTTTAGCCAGACTTGGCTTATCAAAATTAATATTATACAAATTAATATAAATCCTTGCCAGAATTTGGCATAGCAAGATTAATATTATACACATTAATATAATCTTTAGCCACCCTTGAGCTTAGCTTATCCAAATTGATATTGTAATAATTATAATCCACTACACATTAAGTAAATTTGTGAACTTAACATCCACCTCCATCTGTCATTTCACATATAATTCTTAAGTAATTAACTAATTAATGACTTCACTAATTACCTCCGGTTCAAGAAGGACCAATGGGCAACTAAATTTGTGGAAAATTACATTTATTTGGATGCAACTCATAATGTACATATGAGTAAATGGTACCAAAGATAATTATTATTTATCAAAGTTACATAGACAAGTAGGAATTTGGAACACCTAGGTCACAAAAATGTCCCCCTTCGATACCTACAACTGTCATATCCACAAGTTGCTCTAGACCTATTAATTACAAATGAAATGTGCATCACCAGGAATTCTGGTAATATATAAATTTGTGGACTGTATATTAAAATTAATAAATGATTATATATATATACACATATACATAACAGAAGGAGAATATATCTTAATATCACTCACCAATTTGACTGGAGATCAAGGTGTATCATACTCAGAAAACCTCACTGTCTATACATGAAAATAACACTGGCCAGAGTTACAACCTAAACAGACTTATCTGAGGTTCCTGGAGCTGTCTTGTTCAGTTGTCTGATATCTCAAGTTATGCAGGAATGCACATCCAACAATTTCGGCTCCTATTTGAGAAGTGTTAGCCCAATTTAACCTCTAGAACACGAAAATTCTTCCCATTATTCACTAACGTTTGTGTTGACTAGTTCAAACATGGCGAGTCTCTTCTGTGCAGGCGCAGAATTTCCCATTTTTTGTAACATAAATTTTATTAAATACAATGTATTACACTAATTTACATAAAATATACACTGTATTTTTTCCGGAAAATACATTATTTTCCACACTGGCTACAAAAAGCGTCTTTATAACAGGAAGATAGATTTTGCCACCGAAATGTTCACTTATCTGTTACAAGCAAATTTAGGAGGAAACGCAGCAGAAGTTACTTTATTGACCCACCTCTCATTATTATTATTATTATTATTATTATTATTATTATTATTATTATTATTATTATTATTATTATTATTATTATATTATTATTATTGGTATTAGTATTATTATTAATAGTTGAAATATGCAAACGGAAAACAGGAATAAATAAAGGGAATATAAAAAAACGCGCTAAAAATATTTAACCAAGACAGGGCTCGCAGCAATGGATTTAAGTTGAAGAAATTTAGATTTAGAAAGAATATTGGGAAGTACTGGCTTGGCAACAGAGTTGTAGATGAGTGGTATAAATTCACAGGTAACATCACTGAGGCAAGAACTTTGGGAAGCTTTAAATATAAGTTGAACGAGTACACAAGGCGGTGTCCCCTCAAGGGAGGTTCCTTGACGCTGGTGAGGAGCTCTTGATCTAGGGAATTGGATCTGTGCTTCATTTCCCTGGATTGAGCCTGAATGCCTTCCATAGCCCCCCACAGGCGCTGTATAATCCTACGGTTTTAGCGATCCCCCATGATTATAATAATCAAGGTGGTGTAAAGTAGACCTGCCTAGCATGTGCCAGTGGAATCTGCCTAGCATGGACCAGTAGGATCTGACTAGCATGGACCAGTAGGATCTGACTAGCATGGACCAGTAGGATCTGACTAGCATGGACCAGTAGGATCTGCCTACCATGAAGCAGTAGGATCTGCCTACCATGAAGCAGTAGGATCTGCCTACCATGAAGCAGTAGGATCTCTACATACATAGTCGCCTACCATGAAGCAGTAGGATCTGCCTACCATGAAGCAGTAGGATCTGCCTACCTACATAGGGTAGCCTCCATGTAGGATCTGCCTATCATGAAGTAAAACAGTAGGATCTGCCTACCATGGATCGTGCATTGCCTCTGTTCTTATAAATAAGGGAAAGCGCTAAACCTGTAGTGAATATCAAAATGGTACTCAATACCGACAGGATGGTAGGTAAGACACATGGGCAACAGTTAGGCATCTTTAAAGTCGTATATTTGAGGTTGTCAGTCCCTCAACCAGGAGAAGAGCTCTGTTCCATAGTCTGAAACAGTCTGAAGAGACAAGCGACAGTGTGGAGACTTATATACTGCCGGAAGGAGAGGTGCATGGTGTAGCAGAGAGAATGTAGTCACTGAGAGGTCACGTCCCTCTCAGCTCCAGCAGTTCTCACTGGAAAAAGTTGTCCTATGTGTTTTCTGTACCAAGATGCCATTGTATTGCAGTGTCTGACAGAGTGAATATCAGAATGGTATACAATACCGACAGGTTGGTAGGTAAGACACATAGGCAACGGTTAGGCAACTTTATTCCGAAACGTTTCGCCTACACGGTAGGCTTCTTCAGTCGAGTACAGACAGTAGGCAGGAGCAGTAGAGGTGTGAAGACGATGTAATCAGTCCATCACCCTACAAGTCTCTACACTGTCGCTTGTCTCTTCAGACTGTTTCAGACTATGGAACAGAACTTTTCTCCTGGTTGAGGGACTGACAACCTCAAATCTACGACTTTAAGGCTGATGGACTGATTACATCGTCTTCACACCTCTACTGTTCCTGCCTACTTTCTGTACTCGACTGAAGAAGCCTACTGTGTAGGCGAAACGTTTCGGAATAAAGTTGCCTAACTGTTACCCATGTGTCTTACCTACCACTAAACCTGTAGGGAGGGGGGATCATACAGTTCCTGGGAAATAAGAGGTAATCAATTCTAATCCAACGATCAATTCCTTCTCTTAAAAAGCCTTCGCCAGCGTCAAGACACGTCTGCACACAACACCTACACACAACACCTGCACACAACACCTGCACACATCTGTACCGTAGCAACAGCAACTGGTTAGGTTAATCGAGTTTAAAGCTTATCGATAGCACGTGTACTCGCCTATTTCTTCTCACATATTTGTAGTTGCAGGGGTCGAGACTCAGCTCCTGGCCCCGCCTCTTCACTGATCGCTACTAGGTCCTCTCTCTCCCTGCTCCATGAGCTTTATCATACCTAGTCTTAAAACTATGTATGGTTCCTGCCTCCCCTACATCACTTTCCAGACTATTCCACTTCCTGACCACTCTTGACTGAAGAAATACTTCCTAACATCCCTTTAACTCATCTGAGTCTTCAACTTTAAACTGTGACCATTGTTTCTGTGTCCCATCTCTGGAACATCCTGTCTCTGTCCACCTTAACTATTACTCGCAGTATTTTGTATGCCATTATCATGTCTCCCCTAACCCTCCTGTCCTCCAGTATCGTCAGTGTGTTTGTGTGTTATAGTATCCAAAGTGAGATTAGCTCTATTTCCTTAGACCAAGAGCACATCGGGGGAGGGGACAGTGTTGAAAATAACGGCAAATTTGCACTTACAAAATAACTTAGTAACACCAGCCCTGAAAGTTTGGAATCAATCAGAAGAGCCGTTCATAAATTATCGGCAGGAAACCGTGAAGGAATAAAAAAAATCTGGCAACTGATAGAGGTATCCCCTCCTAGGGGGATACCAAATATTCCACCCCAGGCTGTGACGTGGTAGGGTATTTCGGGCACTAAGTAAGTGATGCCAATGTATATACAAGCATGGAGGGGCAGTGTGACTCCTGCCTTGGCTGGCAGAGGTGCTCCCTACATAGCAAGATACACAAATCTGTATAAGTCCCATTTGTCGCATAGAAAAACGGCATAGATTATGTTGCATCGAGTTTAAGGGCTACAACGACATGCTGTATTGTTGCTGTGTTTAAGGGCTACAACAACTCACTGTATTGTTGCTGAAATACGAAGGGAGGCACTGGTCAGTGAATGAGCAAATATCGAACTTATTAAGCTGAAGGAATCTTACAGGAAACAAGAATCTCAAGAAGAACTAGAAACCATAAAGGAAACTGAAAAAAAGCCAAATCTAAGGGTAAAACAACATCCAATATTGGACCAATACTTAGGCGAGATGGTATACCCCAGGTAAAGACTATAACGATATGCTGTATTGTTGCTGCATTTAAGAGCTACAATGACTCACTGTATTGTTGTAGTATTTGAGGGCTACAACAAAACACTATTGTTGTGAAGGACTACAACAACGTATTGTATTGTTGTATTTAAGGACTAAAACGACACGCTTCATTGTTGTTGTTTAAGAACTACAATAACTGGAGCTGTATTTTTGTTGTGTTTAAGGGTTACTATACCTTAAGCTGTATTGTTGTATTAAGGGCTACAGCAAGCCGAGCTGTATTGTTGCTGTATATAAGGGCCACGACTCCCTGAGCCATATTGCAAGCAAATTTAAACAATGACATCACGCAGGCATCATTAATATATTTGGAGCCAAACAGGCGTCGTGAGTATAAATAAACACTTTATAAATGCAACAAAAAAGTGTACATAAGCTTAACATTACTGAGCTTTATTTTTTCTGATACACCTGATATACAGGCAGATAAAGCCCTGACTTTATTATTAGAGAGAGGAGAAACCGGTAAATGAGAACAGCCATAAAACAGTGTACCATAACGGTACAGTAGTAAGTCACAGCTATGAAATAGTGAATTACATGGGTGAAACAGCAGATTATATGAGTGAAACAGTGGTAGATTAAAGTGGTGAAAGAGTGGACTGCAACAGTGAACCAATAAGTACAACGGTGAACTAGTAAATTAATGGAGAAACAGTAAATTTGCAAATGTGAAACTGGTTAAGATGGTGAAACTGTATGTCGCATTAAAATTAACGTGGTGAGACTATAGTCTACAACGGTGAAATGGTAGATTACAACAGCCAACGGTATCTGTTGATGGTGGAACAGTATACAATAAGAGTTCAAAATCAGTGAAAAGCAATATTAGAAGAATTTGTACAGTAAAGAATAAATGGAACGTAAACAGTAGTAGCAACAGCAACAGTAATAATAACAGCAACAACAATAACATTAACATCAACAGTAACGATAACAGCAACATCAGAAGCAACAACGGTAACAACAGCAATAGTAACAATAACAGCAACAACAGTAACAACAGAAACAGCAACAGCGAGTCATTTAGAAAATGAGTTCTGACGAAGCAAAGAAAATATCTGAAGTAGATGGTTAGATACATTATGTCTAGTAACTAACTGCTAATGTAATAGTAATTGATAATTACTGGTAGTAACTGGTAGTGTAACAGTAACTAGTAGTAACTGTCAGTATGTTAAATTAGACATGTGTAACATATGGGTATGTTTACTAAGTAGACGTTTCGTCCACCAGTGGACTTCATCAGTGCAAATACAGAAGACTGGAATGATAGGAGATTAGGTAATCAGTCCCTCTGCCCAGGAGCAGGTGTTAGTACCTCGGTCTTGATGAACCTGCACTGGCAGGTTAGGATAGGTTAGGTAAGGTAAGGTTAGGTTTACCTGGAGAGGGTTTCGGGGGGTCAATGCCCCCGCAGCTCGGTCTGAGACCAGACTTCGTGGTGGATCAGGGTCTGATCAACCAGACTGTTACTGCTGGCCGCACGCACCCTGAAGTACGAACCACAACGCAGCTGGTCAGGTACTGTGAGGGAGGTAGTATTTACAAGAGTGGAAGAAAGAACTAGAGTGGTAATCAAAGTAGCAGTAGAAGTCCGACTGAAAAGTCGTAATAAGATTCTTTTAAGTGCGGGTTAAATATTAAGACATATGTGCAACAGTTGGGTATCTTCAGGTTTAGTAGTGAGAGGAAGATAATGTAATCAGTCCATCAACCTTGGAGAGAAAGTAGTTGAGGTGGTCAGTCCCTCAGCCTGGAGGCTGAGGGGTCAGATGAGATGAAGGTATTGTCACAGGTAGTAGGGATTGTATAGCTCCTGGCCCAGGAGTGATGGTGTGTGTTTACGTACGTTTGGCAGAATTGTGTGATAGTGTGTATTGTACGTTTGGCAGAACTGTGCGATAGTGTGCATTGTGCGTTTGGCAGAACTGTGTGATGGTTTGTATCGTAAATTAGGCAGAGCTGTAAGACGGGTGGCGGTATCGTACATCAGGCAGAACTGTAAGACGGATGGCGGTATCGTACATCAGGCAGAACTGTAAGACGGATGGCGGTATCGTACATCAGGCAGAACTGTAAGACGGATGGCGGTATCGTACATCAGGCAGAGCTGTGTGATGGTTAGCGGCTATCGTACAGCAGACAGAGCTGTAGGATTGTTGCTATCGTACGTTTGCGGGATATACATTACAAACAACTATCATACACACAACTTCTGGATAGAAATAGATAACAGTGTGGTGTCTGGCAGGGGTGTGGTGCGGCAGCAGGTGTTGGCAGCACCTGCGTCAGTATCCAGCAGTCAGGAGAGTGGTGGGTCATGTTTCTCTGCTGCTGCTGCTGCTCCTCTACACCAGCCTGGGAGCTAAGGTGAGCTAACCTTATAAATCAAACCTTTAAGTTGTAGAGGTATTGATCATAGGAGCTGTCTTCATTTTCCTTGGATCAAAACCCATGACCATAATCATATATTATTAGTATTGTCTTCATCCGAGGAAATGGAGCTGCATCCCTATATATATGTGTGTGGAAAATTGCATTTATCTGAATGTATCATTATGTACATAACAGTAAATGAACAAAGATTATTATTTATCAGTTAGACAAGTAGGAATTTGGGACACCTAGGTCGCAAAAAATGTCCCCCTTCGATATCTACAACTGTCATATCCACAAGTTGCTCTGGAACTATTAATTATAAATAAAAGATACATCACCAGGAATTCTGGTAAATAAAAATTTGTGGACTGTATTTTAAATTAATAAAGGATTATATATATACATATACACATAACAGCAGGAGAATATCTTAATATCATTCACCAATTGGACTGGAGATCAAGGTGTATCATACTCAGAAAACCTCACTGTCTATACATGAAATAACACTGGCTAGAGTTACAACATAACAGACTTATCTGAGGTTCCTGGAGCTGTCTTGTCCAGTCGTCTGATATCTCAAGTTATGCAGGAATGCACATCCAACAATTGCGCCTCCTATTTGAGAGGTGTCAGCCCAATTTAACCTCTAGAGCACGAAAATTCTTCACATTATTAACTAATGTCTGTTACTCCATTCAAACAACAATGGCAAGTCTCTTGTGTGCAGGCGCAGGGTTTCCCATTTTCGATAACATAATTTTTATTAAATACAATATAGGCCATCGATTTACCTATAAATTACCGTATTTCCGGAAAATATACAGTATTTTCCACAATATATAATGTTTCAGGTATTTCAGTCTCTGGAACACGAGGTGGAGATGGAACAGCAGCAGCAGCTGTGGACACAGCTGCACTACGAGAGACAGCAGCTCATTCAACAGCTGCTGAACTTTACGAGCTTACAGCAGAGACAGAAGCAACAGCAGACCCATGAACAGCAGCTGCAACAGCAGACCCATGAACAGCTGCAACAGCAGACCCATGAACAGCAGCTGCAACAGCAGACCCATGAACAGCAGCTGCAACAGCAGACCCATGAACAGCAGCTGCAACAGCAGATCCATGAACAGCAGCTGCAACAGCAGACCCATGAACAGCAGCTGCAACAGCAGACCCATGAACAGCAGCTGCAACAGCAGACCCATGAACAGCAGCTGCAACAGCAGAGTAAGACATTGTAAATATTTATCACCACCACCACAACAACAACAGTAAAAAACTACAATACCAACAACAACAATAACTACAACATCCCAGAACAACAACAACAATAACAGTAACAACAACAATAACAATAACAACAACAAAAGTAGCAAGGCAACAAAACACTAGTTGTGGCAACATTGTTGTGAATGATTGGAACAAAATTCTATGTAGCTCCCAGTGTATATACAGAGGTATATATATCTCAGTATACTTACAAGTATTTATCTCTCGTTGTATATTTATTGAGAGTTTAAGCCTTATTTTAGGTATTAAAGTATTGACTGGTGTTGAACAGGTGACATCCAGGCTTAGCGACCCTCGTGTAGTAGATAGTCTTTAAACCCCATTAACCAACCCGCTAACAAGGTACTGTCACTGAAGGAAATATTTTAGATTTTTTTTTTTTTTTTACATTTTTGAATGGTTGAGTATGAGTAAAACCTGCCAATCGTGGGTCATTAAGACTATATTGCAATGTTGTGGTTTATAAGGCCACTCACAGCTTCAGCTGTATCGAGAATCTATAGGCAGAATTTGTTGTTTTGGTTTATAGAATGACATAAACCGTATCGAGCTTTGTTACTCATGCATTTGCAGAGATTCAGATGGAGACAGGGACATCCGGAGAGGAGACGAAGGCATCCGGAGAGGAGACGAGAACATCCAGAGAAGAGACGGATGCATCCAGGGAGGAGGCTCTGGTGTCTGAGTGGTTGAGGAGATACGAGGAGGTACTATTGGAGGCCGGAGAGCCACTCCAGCAGGAAGAAGAGCTTCACTCGAGGTGGACGTACACTCAGGCACTCTTCTTTAGTGCCACTGTCCTTACTACTATAGGTCAGTCAGCAGGCACTTGTACCATGTACCTGCCCGCTTATAGATCCAAAGAAATTGAACTACCCTCAAATTCTATTTTCCTCTGGATCAAACTTGGTTACGCACGATTAACCCCAGGCACTGCATGACCCTGAAAACTTTAGTGCTTCCTCCCGAGTATAATTAATAATAACAATCAGGATAGTGCCTACAGCAATATTGTAGCTACAACAATGTTGTGGCTACAACAATATTGTGGCTACAACAATATTGTGGCTACAATATTGTTGTAGCCACAATATTTTTACAAAGTAGAAGTGATGCAAGGAGGGAGGAGTATATGTAGAGAAAAAGAGAGGTTAAGAGAGTGGTGAAGCAACGTAAAAAGAGAGCAAATGAGAGAGTGGGTGAGATGTTATCAACAAATTTTGTTGAAAATAAGAAAAAAATTTAGAGTGAGATTAACAAGTTGAGGAAGCCTAGGGAACAAATGGATTTGTCAGTTAAAAATAGGAGAGGAGAGTTATTAAATGGAGAGTTAGAGGTATTGGGAAGATGGAGGGAATATTTTGAGGAATTGTTAAATGTTGATGAAGATAGGGAAGCTGTGATTTCGTGTATAGGGCAAGGAGGAATAACATCTTGTAGGAGTGAGGAAGAGTCAGTTGTGAGTGTGGGGGAAGTTTGTGAGGCAGTAGGTAAAATGAAAGGGGATAAGGCAGTTGGGATTGATGGGATAAAGATAGAAATGTTAAAAGCAGGTGGGGATATAGTTTTGGAGTGGTTGGTGGTGTTTCAACCTGAGACACCTAAAATGGAGGAGTATAGCAAACAATGTTTAAGCAGAGATCACCCTGGGAGGCAGCTCAGGTGAAAATTCACACACACACGAACTATTAAATCTCTGCAACAAATTTACCTTAAACCAGCAAATAGTACAAGACTAGAAAATACATTGGGCCTCATCTTTACTAACAATGATGATCTGATACGTAATATAACTGTATCAAAGACAACATAACAGAGGCACAGACATGTATGCACAGGGCTCCGGACCAGCAAAATGTGAGCAGTCATGAAGGTCTCTTCGCGAAATTCAACTTCAATAACAAAAACATACAATGGGATCTTGTAAACCATGTTCTAAATGAAACGAGCTGGGAAGATATCCTAAACAACACGGATCCGAACATTTGCCTTGGGAAAAAATGAATTCTGTGGTTCTTGAGATCTGCTTCTCCATATCCAACTTTGGCTACGCCATATCTCTACCAAGCATAAAGATATTGCTTTTTGTTGGGTCCCTGGTCATGTTGACGTACAGGGCAATGAACAGGCAGACACTGCTACACGGTCAGCAGTACATGAACTACCAGATTCATATAGAGGTGTTCCATTTCTGGACTATTTTGCTGTAATAACTACCCACCTTCACACCCGTTGGCAACAACATTAGTCTAATCTACTCGGTAACAAACTTCATTCTATTAAACCGAGTATAGGTAACTGGCCGTCTTCTTGTCATCAGGGTCCAGGTTGGGAGACTACTCTCTCCCGCCTTCGCATTGGCCACACTCGTCTTACTCACGGGTATCTCATGGACAGGCACCCTGTTCCTCTTTGTGAGAAGTGTCAACTTCCAGGATCGGTTAGCCACATTCTGTTAGACTGCCCTCTCTATCAACGAGCACACAGAATTTACCTCCAACGTCGTCTCCGCTCTACTACTCTCTCTTTACCTTCCCTTCTTGCTGATGGACCCTCCTTTAATCCTGACTCTCTCATTGACTTCTTGACAACGACTGATTTACTCCACAAACTCTGATGATGATACCTTTTGCACTCCTCTCAGCCCTTTCTACCTCAATCTCTTGCTACCCTCTACCCCTGCACTATCCACTGTCCCGCTGTTCTCCATAACCTACTAATCATCCCTCTCCCTTTTACCACCTGATACCCTCGCTTCCTTCCTGCCCTGCAGCGCTGTATAGCCCTTGTGGTTTAGTGCTTCTTTTTTATTATAATAATAATTGAGGTCTACTCAAGACACATTCCATTTAGAAAAAGAAAGAGAAGATGTAAACTAGAAAAAGAGAGACGTTCCCTATAGAGCGAAACACCAACATCAAAGACCTGGGAGTGATCATGTCGAAGAATCTCACCTTCAAGGACCATAACATTGTATCAATCGCATCTGCTAGAAAAATGACAGGATGGATAATGAGAACCTTCAAAACTAGGGATGCCAAGCCCATGATGACACTCTTCAGGTCACTTGTTCTATCTAGGCTGGAATATTGCGGCACACTAACAGCACCTTTCAAGGCAGGTGAAACTGCTGACCTAGAAAATGTACAGAGAACCTTCACAGCGCGCATAACGGAGATAAAACACCTCAATTACTGGGAGCGCTTGAGGTTCCTAAACCTGTATTCCCTGGAACGCAGGAGGGAGAGATACATGATTATATACACCTGGAAAATCCTAGAGGGACTAGTACCGAACTTGCACACGAAAATCACTCACTACGAAAGCAAAAGACTTGGCAGACGATGCAACATCCCCCCAATGAAAAGCAGGGGTGTCACTAGCACGTTAAGAGACCATACAATAAGTGTCAGGGGCCCGAGACTGTTCAACTGCCTCCCAGCACACATAAGGGGGATTACCAACAGACCCCTGGCAGTCTTCAAGCTGGCACTGGACAAGCACCTAAAGTCAGTTCCGGATCAGCCGGGCTGTGGCTCGTATGTTGGTTTGCGTGCAGCCAGCAGCAACAGCCTGGTTGATCAGGCTCTGATCCACCAGGAGGCCTGGTCACAGACCGGGCCGCGGGGGCGTTGACCCCCGGAACTCTCTCCAGGTAATACAGATGAAGGCGAAGAGTCAAAGAGCTGCTGAGTGGGGTCAATATATCTGAAATACGAAGGGAGGCACTAGTCAATGAAATTGCAAATATCGAACTTAAGCTGAAGGAATCTTATAGGAGACAAGAATCACAGGAAGAACTAAAAGCCATAAAGGAAATTAAAAAAAAATACTTATGCCAAATCTAAGGGAAAAATAACATCCAGTATTGGGCCCCTGCTTAGGCGGGATGGGACATACACAGATGATAGCCAAGAAGTGAGTGAGATACTTAAGTTCAAATATGACTCAGTGTTCAGCGATCCACTGCCCAGACTAAGGGTCGACAATCCAAATGAATTCTTTATGAACGAAACCCAAAATTTGGCCATCCCAAAACTCTCGGATATTATTATTTTATAATAATAATAATAATAATAATCGGATATTATTATAACTCCACAAGATTTTGAAGAGCCAATAAATGACATGCCCATGCACTCTGCCCCAGGCCCAGACTCGTGGAACACCGTGTTCATCAAGAACTGCAAGAGGTCCCTATCACGTGCCTTCAGCATTTTATGGAGAGGGAGCATGGACACAGGGGTCATCCCACACACACTAAAAACAACATACATAGCCCCACTCCTCAAAGGTGGCAGTGAAACAATTCCAAAGAACTACAGACCGATAGCACTAACGTCCCATATAAAAATCTTTGAGAGGGTTCTAAGAAGCAAGATAGCCGACCACCTAGATACCCATCAGTTACACAACCCTGCCTGTCCCAGCTTCTGGACCACTATGACAAGGTCCTGGACGCGGTAGAGGATAAACAAAATACAGATGTAGTATATACAGACTTTGCAAAAGCTTTCGACAAATGTGACCATGGTGTAATAGCGCACAAAATGCGGGATAAAGGAATAACGGAAAGTTGGTAGATGCAACATAAACTACAATGGAACACAAGAGTAAACAGTGACAGAGTAAATTCCCAGGTAGCCATGGTAAAAAGCTCTGTTCCACAAGGCACAGTACTCGCTCCAATTCTATTCATCATCCTCATCCTCCAGGTAAACTCCAGGTATGAGGCTATTAAATTATTTATTTTATGTCTTTGCAAACGTACATTGAGATTTTGTCTTTACAAATAGTGGGTAGCAATGCAAGAGAGCCTAATATGCTAGCAAGGGTAAGGGTACCTAGGAGATAGGCGACAGCGTGTATAGTTCTCCTTTGTATAAAGGCAAAGGGGATTAAAAAGAGAGTGCAAAAAAATTGTAGGGGAAAATAAGTTGGTTGAGTAACCTGGTAAATGTTTTTATTGAAAGAATTAAGAGTAAGACGGAGAGTAGTGATAGCAGAATGAACAAGGAGGCTTTAGGAAAGGTAGGGGGTGTGTGGGACCAGGTGTTTACAGTGAAATATATAATTGAACATATTTATATAAGGGTAAAGAGGTTTTTGTGCATTTATGGATTTGAAAAGGCATATGACAGAGTGGTTAGGAGCATGGGGGGGCGATGGGTGGCAGGAGGTAGGTTACTGGAAAGCAGTGAAGAGTTTTTACGAGATAGTGAATGCTCAGGTTAGAGTAAGTAGGAAAGAAGGGAGATTATTTCCAGTAAAAGTAGGCCTTAGACAAGGATGGCATGTGTGATGTTACCATGGTTGTTTAATATATCTATAGATGGGGATTGTAAAAGAAGTGAATACTCGGGTGTTGACAAGAGGTGTGGAGTTAAAAGATAAAGAATCTATCACAAAGTGGGAGTTCTCACAGTTGCTCCTTGCTGATGACACTGAGCTTATGGGAGATTCTGAAGAAATTGCAGAGTGGTGGATGAATTTGGTAGTGTATGTGAAAGAAGAAAATTAAAAGTGAATATAGGAAAGAGTAAGCTATTGAGTGATAAAAAGTTTAGGTGACGAAAATTGTGGATATCAGATGGAGGGAGAGAGTATGGACGAGGTGAATATATTCAGATATTTAGGAGAGGACGTGGTCAGCAGATGGGTCTATGAAAGATGAGTGAATCACAGAAGATGAGGGAAAGGGTGAGCGGTGTAAACTTAGGAGTCATGGAGACAAGAACTTTGTCCCATATGGTGGAAGCAGTTAGTTTTAATATGTTTATTATGCACCCCATACCCATCCTGTGGGCGGTAGTCAAAAGATAACAGAGGTACATAATTGGTCCAGGGACGGACTCCAAAGTTTTGATGCTGAGCAAGTTACAGAGGTAATGACTCACAATTTACAAAAGGTAATGAACTCACAATTTACAAAGGTAATGAA